AGACAAAGCATCTTTAAATTGAAAGGCATCCTTTCAGTCAAGGCTGGGCCATTAAAAGCAGGAGATACAAGGGAGTGGTTCTAAATAATGGGAGGGAATAAGAGGGAAAGAGAGAGAAGAGAAGGTAAGGAGAAGGAATATGAACCTCTGAGTCGCCTTCCCAGGGATAACTGAACCCAATGCATTTGTCTTAGGTTACGCCTCTATGATAGAGACCGTCTCCCATCAAGCAGACCCATATTCCCCCACCTTGGAATAACTCATCCACTATTCAGAAATAAGGTCATGAACAGAGAGCTTTCCTCTACAGATTATAACTATAGGACCTACTCTGACCCTAAGGAATCCCAGCTCAGTCACTTAATTGGCAAGTCATAATTTCTGAAGGACTGTTTCTTCATCTAAGGACTGAATAAGATCAAAGGTTCTCAAACTTTCGGGTCTCAGGACTCCTTTAACCTCTTAAAAATTAGTGAGGACCTCCCCAAAAGCTTTTGTTTATGTGGATTATACAGGTATTTACTGTATTAGAAGTTAAAATGCTGCTAAAATATTATTATGAAAACAATTTGACCTTGTGGACTCCCCCAAAAAGTCTCAAGGACCCCTAGACCACACTTTAAGAATTGTTGGACCAGATTAGCAATAAGGTTCCTTCCAGCTCTAGCATTCTTAGATCCCTTTCTGGATATTATTCCTCAAATAAATGCGCACACCCTAAGAAGTAGCCACCTTCTACACAAAGAGTTGTAAATTCTTAGCACTGTAGACATTCTCTCCTCCCATTACCTCTATGTAAAATTGTAGAAAGAACTAGGAAAGGACCAAAGAGCCTAGATCAGTCAGAGCGGGAAGGAACTTAAAATCAGTACAACCACCTAATTTTACAGAGGAAAATACAGTGGTCCTGAGCAGTAAAGTGATGTGCCCACAGTTAATTAGTTGCAGAGCCAAAACAAGAATGATCAGTCCAGTGTTCCATCTACTATACACCATAATACCTTTCTTCTCTAGTCTTCTCTTGTTTTCCCTCCCTTTACCAATTGGTGGCATTCTCTCAATCTGGCATTACATGGCTAATCTCAGGATGTGCTTACAAGTTCCTTTTTAACGCGTATTACCAATCTATCCTAGTGTCTCAATAACTCTAGACCACCAGATGCCCACCATCTTTCCTAACATCCATGTGAATTCCCAGTTCTATGCTTTATTGATCCTCTTACCAGATGATGGAGAATATTTTTAATTAAATTGTTAAATGCTAATTTATTTCTAAGAAATAAATGATTCTCTGGTGAAATAAAAATGCAAGAGCCACACCCTTAACAACTCTCCAATGGCTACAGCTTCCTGCTGGCATCTAGCAATAAAGATTTATTTTCATAGAAACAGTCAAAGGTCAAGTTCCAGAACTATGCTCCAGGTCCACCCATGAATCATTCCATGGCTACAGTCCACAGTTCTTATACATTTTTGCCATGATATTCCCAGAGTAGTTCACAATTAGGCTAGGTCAACATTACTGGTACTGATCCAGAAATAACAACTCACATTTATATGGCACTTGATGGTTTTTAAAAAATACCATCTTTACCACCCTGTGTGGTAGTGCAAGTATTATTAGTCTCATTTTACAGAGGGGAAAATGGAAACTTTGAGAAGTGACTTTCCAATTATCACACAGCTGGTAAATATTGGGCCCTGTCCACTGCACCACAATGCCCCAATTCTCAGGAAGCATGAAGCCCAGCATCTTCTTCATCCCACTTACCAAGAGGGTATTAAAACAATTTAGAAGTATATCTGGGCTTGTCTCCCAGATGCTTAAGGAACATAACCACAAAATCCTAGAGCTGGAAGGGACACTGGAAATTATTTAGTCCAATGGTTCCTCACCTATGGGTCAAATGGAATTACTGCAAAAGGTCTGAGAATCCATATATGTACCAATCATTATCATCTTGATCTTTGTAGTTCCAAAAAAATAGCAGCACCATGAATTTTGTGTCCAGTCTGTATTATTGACGACCTATTTCTTTCTAATGGGAATTTTTTCCCTAGACTTCCAGAATGAAATAGGAATGTTTTCTTCCCCTGTGACTGATAACAGACAAATTCATTCAAAAGTGTTACTGAATTCATAGTCACTTTTCATAATTGCGTTTTTTCAACCAGAGGATGCTGATATAACTACTATTATGGGGGAAAGGATTTCTACTCAGTGAGGAATGGATTTTTTTTAAATTAAGAAACAGGTGTCTTCAAGGTGGTCCAATCCTTTTGGGTTGGGCCCCAGAGTAAATGGGGCCCAAATTAGCCAAGTGATTTGTTGGAGTTCACACAGTAAGTTGATAACAGGTTTAAGATTAAAGATTAGGTCTTCACAGAATTTGGAGATGGAAGGGCCTTTGAGATCATCTAGTTTAACTTCCTCGTTGTACAGATGAGAAAACTGAGGATCATAGAGGTGCAGGCATTCAATCAAAGTCACAAATGTAGTAAGTAGAGCTGCTTCTAAATCCACTGCTCTTTCCACCAGTGTTAACTTTAGAAAAAAGCAAAATTTAGAATCAACCCATTTCAGAGCTGAATGAGATTACCATCTAGGCCAACCTCAATTTAAAGAGGAGGGCAGTTATCAGAGAAGTGAAGCAATTTGTCTAACACCATACAGTTAGTTAAGGATAGAGTTAAGATGAGAACCTGTCTCCTAGCTTCCAGTCTAGCATCCTTTTTTCCTATATTATGATGACTCTAATCCAGAACAAAACAAACCCAGACAAAATCCTTAACTGAGTAAATAGGGTACCTGGATGCTCTTTGTATCATTAGACAATCTGTTTTCATAATACTCAGCAATGATACACTTGAAAGTGATATAAATAATAAATAAAGCCTGTAAAAAATTAGTCAACAGAGCTTCTGAAGATGTTTTGCAACCCACCAAATTCTTACAGTATACTCAAAGTCACAGAATGATAGAAGTGAAAGGGACTTTACCACACACAATGTTAGAATTACAAGGGTCTTTAGAGACCATCACTTTATATAGACAAAGAAACTGCTGATCAGAATGATTAAGTGACATGTACTCTGCCTGAATTTCTTCCAGTTACACAGGAATGAACCAACGTTCTTTAGAAGAAGGGGTTAACTCTGAAAATAAGATGGAAGCATACCAAGACAGCAGGGTGGAGCAAGAGAAAAGTTTTAACAACCAAGCTAAGCAAAAAAGCTGAAGGAAATGAAACAGTGAAAATCAAATTAAAACAAAGAGGAAGTTTTTAAACAAATTGCTAAACTCAGACAAAAGTCTATCATGCTTGTTGCGCTAACCTAATTATCAATTTCATTTAACTGATAAAAGACAAGAGTTATGAAAAATAAAGATTTAGGTAACTTGCCAGAGTAAACTATATAATTATTATAAGCCAACTAGTATGGTGTAGTGGATGGAATGGTGACTTGGAAATTAAAGCAATCTCAGTTTTAATCCTAGCTCTTTCACTAACTGGCTTTGTGACCTTAGCCAAATTTTTTACAAATCTCATATTCAGCATCTGTAAAATTGGGGGTCAGACAAACAGTTCTCTAAAGTCCCTTCCCATTCTGTCATTCTGTGTATTCACTCTGAATATTCACTTCAACTCAAAGGGCAGTAAGACACTGTCATATCTAAGATACCTTGTACATAATTCCAAGAGTTTAAAAAAAACCCCAATAGATAAGATTCCTTATCACAAAATCTCTGTCCTCTCCAAATGTTTATATGCTACCACTTAATAATACACTATTCTCTGTTAATAATTCATTGGCACCACCACTAAAATAGTAAAAGGGCAAAAAGAGTTGAATCTGTCCAAATCTGACACTTAAAAAATGTTTTCATAATGATATATCTGTGATTCAGCAATTTTGAAAGTCAATAATTTGTAGCAGTAATGTTCTAAAACAGATCCTCAGCCCTTTCTTCATGACCGTGATGCATTGTTTGTGATTTTCCAAGGTGCTATGAAATTCCTCCCCAAATCTGGAGGAAAAAAATCTGAATTTTCTTTAATTTTTTTTTCTTTAAAATTTTTTTTCTTTCTTTAATTTTTAAAAAGAAACTTAGCACCACCAGGCACTATTAAGAAACAAGAAATTAACAGAGTACTCCTAGGCACACAGTAGGAGCTCAGAAAGTTAACTTAAAAACATCAGGTCACTGTAAAGCTGAGTTGAATTTCTCTCTCGGGAGGAAACTACAAGTCTCACCTTTCTGGAGGATGGGAAGGTTGGGTGGGGTACAAAACTCAAAAGCAGCGAAATGACACATCTCCAGGAAAAAACAAAAAAAGAGAAAGGATGCAACATTGGGAATCCGATTGTGTTGTTACTTTGTTGTTCCTCAAACTGCCAAGTACTAACCGTGAAATTGACAAGAACCTGCCCCAAGAAATGGACTGGAGCCGCTAGACCATAATGCCCTATCAGCTGGCAGCATCTTAGAGAAGTCCAAGTTTCTGAAAACACTCCTCCTTCTCACTCTCCTTCTCTAATGGATTTCAGGTTCTTACCCACACCCCCCTCCCACCAGAGCTGCCCTCCACCCACACTAAACTTTCTAGAAGCTGCACTGCTTCTCTTTCCTCGGGGGAGAAACAAAGGCAAATCCTGCAGTCCCCCAAAGCCCCGCTTTTTTTTTTTTTAAACTCAGACACACCAGCAGAGAAGGGTCAGAGACCGCGGTGCACGCGGGAGAGAAGAAGGGCCGGCGAACTGCCCGTGCGCCTGTCCCGGGCCGGGAAGGGGCCGCCAGGGATGGACCATCCTGGGGCGCGGGGGGGGGGAGGCACCAGTCTCCCGCGCACTCGGGGTGCAACCCTTCTGGGGACCCGAGGCCCGTAGGGGAGGGCGGCGGCGGGTCAGCCCGCTGCAGTGGCGCGGGGACCAAGCCGGCCCAGGGCGGGGCAGTACGGGGCAATGGCCCGGGGTTGGGGGAAGGGGGGGTCACTCGCCTGCCCACGGTCTGGTTGGCCAGCTGCTTCATTCGGTTGAATTGCTTCTTCATGGTAGCAGCCGGTGGAGCCGCGGAGGCGGCGTGTCCTGGGCAAGGGGGCGCAGGGGCGCTCGCGGACAGAGAGGTGGGGGTGCGGCCAGGCGCTGCCCGCTCCTACATAGTGTCCGGGCGGCAGCGGCTTTCGCACTGAGCTCCTGGGACCAGCCGACGCCCCGGCCCCGCCCCCGGTCCGCCCCGGCCGGGACCCAGACGCGTCACTTCCGGTCGGGCCGCCTCCGAGCTAGTCTGGGAGGCCTGCCCGGGAGCCGCAGACTAGGGCCGCCTGCCCCTCCCCCAGGCCCGGGGCCTGGGACCGAGGAGCCGCGAGACGGGGCCGCCCCCTCCGCGCGCCCCAGGGTTGGGGCAGTTTCATTTTCTCCTAAGGTGACATGCACGGCTAGGAGCGGTTTAAAATTAGACCTAGGGAGTTTCAGCCCCTGACATGCGAGCACTTTTCCCCCTGGTGGACATTTAAATGTTTCCCTCCCCTCGCTGGGGAAGAGCAGCGTTAACCCTCCGTTTGCAAGCGGGGAAGCTGTGGCCACAGACTTCTAAGGAAAGCCCCTGCACAGAGATGCAGGACCTGAATCGAGTTTGATGTTTCCTTGGGGTGGAATGAAATGGGGTATGGACAGATTAATTCAATTCAATAAACATTTATTAAGCATCTAACTATGTGCCAGGCACTGTGCTATAGTATACAAAAAGAAGTAAAAAACTCCCTGTCCTCAAGGAAATTCTAAGAGGCACCCAACTCTGAGGTTGGTGATACAATGCTGTGTTGAGTAGACACTGTAACCCAATTTATATGGCATGCTTCTTCTGTTCCAGTAATAAGAGGTGGTGTAATGCACCAGATTAGAGGTCAGGTGATGAAGGCTCCAGTCCCAACTCCCCAACCCCCTTACTAAGCCTTATGACTAGGAGCAGGTCACCGATCCTCAGTTTCCTCAGAGGCAATTATAATCTCTGACCTGTCTATTTCTCACAGATTAGAGCACAGATGTCAGAGTGCTTAGAAAATTGTTAAATGCTGCTAAACAAATGGAATGGATGATTATTTCATATCAGTATAGGAAAGGAAGTTAAGTCCCCCATGCCTGGAATTGTCTTCCTCTTTGTCTCAATTTCCTTCCAGCCAAAATCCTGCCTTTCCTTTCAGCCTTTCCTAATCTCCCCTTAGTTCTACTGCCTTTCTTCTGTTAATTATCTCCAATTCTTCGTTTGTCTTTTTGTCTTTTACGTCGTTTGTCTTTGCATCCCCATGGTGTTAGCACTGTGTGTGTGTGTGTGTGTGTGTGTGTGTGTGTGTGTGTGTAATAGGTGCTTAGAAACTACTTAAGAGCTGGATGGAGACGAGAGGTTGGGAGGAAAAAAAGTGAGGAAGTTAAGGGGAAAGGGAGGATGAAGAAAAAAGAAAAAAAAGGGAAATCTCTGCTCTACTTTACTTCATAAATGGAACTGCCAGCATTATTGGGAAAGCAAATTTGCTGGTTGAAGAAAGGAGCTGTTTAACAAGTTTATCTACCTCACTAGGCATCTTGAAGGGGAGTCATTATTGCTGCAGCATAGTTTTGTGTTTTGGGGGTTTTTTTTACAGCATTCCAGGCAGAATTGGACTCCTCAGTCCCATCTTCCCCTTCCTCCAATCCAGGCTCTCTGGTGCTCTTTTAAAATATTATTTTGGAGAAAAAATGAGGGCATTCCTGACTGTTAAGTTTAAGTCACAGGCTAAGCAAATACTTATCTATAAAGACTGAGATTAAATTCTGATTTAAATTGAGGAAAATCAGTGGCAATGAGTAAAAGCAGGGAGTTGACTCTTGAGCTAGGGTAATATGAGATTTGGAAGAAGAGTAAAAGATGGAGAGATATTAGAGGTAAAGGGAGCTATTGAAAGGGGGAATTCATGGCTTCTTTTGCATTTCTTTTTATTGGAGCAGGTTTTAAGATTAATAGCTGTAAGGGACTTTTAGTTTCAAAAAAAGAGGATAAGTTTTTGAAAGAAGGATGAGGGGGCTGAGCTATATTAGTAACTTGCTTATGAGTCAGAAGTGTAAGGTGGATTTTAGAAGTATTGGAGGGAAAAGATGAGGAAAGGGAGGTATGGGGATCCACTCTGGCCTACAGGCCCACCCCAAGTCCAAGCTAGCCCTATATATTCAAAGATCCCCGGTCGGTTGGTTGACAAATTGGTTGTTAACTCCCTACACAGAATTAGAAAACCCTACTTATTTAAACCAAACTGGATCATCAAGGGATTTTTCCCAGAGTGAACCCAGAGCCAATTATAGATTTAGAGCAGAACCCTTAATCACATATGGTCACAAAATGGCCTATTTATTAAGAAAAGAAGCCATTTCCTCCCTTTCCAGGCTTATTTCACACCACTCTCCTTCCCATTCTCTGTATCTCCATCAATTTGAACGACTCGCTGCTATATTCAGTATAGATCTGCCCATTTCCAATCCTCCCATCTCAGCCTTTGCCTATGAAATAGAACGCCCTCTCTTCAGTGAAGCCTTGCCTGATCGTTCTCACTGGGGCAAGGGGGAGCATTTGTATGGTGCCTACTATGTACCATCCACTGTGCTAAGTCCAGTGGACATTATCTTTTCTTCCTCCAATCTCACATAGCATTTTTTTTAAATTATAGCTACTGGGTATTTATAAAAGTATCAAAGCAGAGTCCATTACTAAATTGTAAGCTCCAGGAGATCAGGGAATGGGTTTTATTTATCTTTATATCTCACTTAATTGCCTAACATAATGCATTACAAAGAATAGTTACTTAATCAATGGTTGTTAAATAAATAGATAAGAGTATACTGGATTTCGATCTAAATCCAAAAAGGACCTTGGAGGACATGTCATCCCATCCTTCCATTTCACAAATGAAGAAACTAGATAAAGTGGCATACGTAAGGTCACTGTAGCAGGAAATGAGAGAGCCACTATTTGAACTCGTGTCCTTTGCTCCAGATCCACCATTCTTTCCACTACACTGATTAATCAGACTTACAAACTGAAAACATCCCATAAAAACTCCTTGCCGCTGCTGCATTCTGACCAACTTGTTCCATTTTGGGGGGGGGGCAAAAAAACGCTTTGAGGACAAAATGAGATACAACTTCATTTAATGCTGTGGAACACCAGGAAGCAATGCCAAAAACCATTGCAATCACATTACAATCAGAGGTAGGATGGTTCTTTTTCTGAGCAAGGGATCACCGTGTAAGGCCAAGGGTCAGAGCTGGAAAACATTGCCAAGCTTTGAAAATTTGTAGGGGCCACCTCCTAAAGCACAACTTCTTCATGATCACTGATCCAGAAAACTGTTCACTGGCTGAGTCCTACTCAGAGACAGCTAGCAGCATGATATAGCAGACAGAATGGTGTTGGAGTCAGATAACCTGTTTGAATCCTGTCTTCTGCTACATCCAACTATATGATTCTGAACAAGTCACTTAATCTCTCTAGACCTCAGTTTCCCCTTGTCTGTGAAAGGAAGTAGTATTACATAACAAGGAGTTAGACTTTCAGCTCTTCATTATTATTTACATAGTGCTTACTATTTACCAGCCAGTGTGCTAAGCCCATTGGATATTATCTTTCCTTTCTCCAATCTCACATAGCAATTTTTACAATATTATGGTACTGGATATTTATATAAGTATCAAAGCATAGCACCTTACTAAATTGTAAGCTCCATGAGATCAGGGAATGTGTTTTATTTATCTTTATATCTCGTGTAGTTGCCTAATGTAGTGCATCATTTGTTTGTTTATTATTCAACTCTTTCAGGGTGTTCAGGAAAATGCGTTAAGAACTGAAATATAATAAAGTAGAATAAAGGAAATATAATTAATATAATATAATAAAATGTAATAAAAGATGACTAGGAAGTTTTTCTTCCCATTTGTCTTCTTGGTGTAGGAAGCAACGTGATCTCTCAAGTTGTGTTCAAACATTGGAATCAGGAACTTAAGTATCTAATCACAGCTGTGCCACTGACTCACAGAAGCCTTGGTCAAGTCCTTTACCTTTGAGAGCCTCTTTCAATATTAGATAATGATATGAATTTATCTGACAGGAATCTCATGTAAAATGTGTTGCAAACATAGATGTTGCACTATAAATCTTAAACACATATCACTATTACTACTCCTACTAATTAATTGTGTTTGCCTGAACACCCAAATGGCATGAGTGATAGAAACCGAAGAGAAGATGTAATTTAAGGTTGACTAATACTTGAAGGTGATACATCATATGACAATGATGAGTTATTATTAATAATAATGATACCATGCATTTGAATAGCCCTTTACAATCTACAAAATGCTTTCACATATCCATCTCACTTGGCATAAAGACAATTTAAAAAGCTCAAAGTCCCATATTTACTACAATACACCTTTAAGTAAAAGTGATGGCTCACTGTGAAATGAATTCTAGGATGAAGGGAAGAAAACATTATGCAAAATGTGGTCTGAGAATGATACCTGATAACGAACATTTAATCTATTGCACTGTTAGGATTTTGACTTCTACTAATATCCAAGACCTGGATCCATAATGTGAAATTCTGAGAAAAGTAGTTCTTGATTTTCTAGGTTTCCTTAATGTTTTCCATAATTGTCACATTATACTTTAAAATGTCTGGGACCTATAATTTCCTTGGTGTGGATTCTCCTACCTCACAAATCATAGCCATTTATAACTTTTATTAAATAGTATTCCAAGCCTGCTGTGGCCAAAAAATCCATCACTTTATGGTCAACCTAATAATGAGAGAGAGAGAGAGAGAGAGAGAGAGAGAGAGAGAGAGAGAGAGAGAGACAGACAGACAGACAGACAATGTGCTAGGCATTGTGCTAAGTTTTGGGAAGATAAGCAAATACAACACAATCAACCTCTCCAAACTCAGCTAGGCTAGTCCACAGACTATAAGGGCATACAGTATATTGCTAGATTCATTATTAAAGCCTTTCCAATTTGGTAGGTCTCATCAGAACTTCTCTGCTTAGCCTTAAAGAAACCAAGGTTACTTTTCTGTTCATAAGAAATAGTGTTGTTGTTATTGTTTAAGTCATTTTTCAGTGGTGTCAAACTCTTTTTGACCCCTTTTGGGATTTTCTTGGTAAAGATACCAGAGTGGTTTGCCATTCCTTCTC